GGATGGATGCTCCCATGAGAAACAGAAGCTGGGTCCAGAATCAACAGGCAGAAACAGAAAATTTGCAGCAAATAGCAGAGCGAGCTGCCAGAAAAACCTCCTGACGAGAAAGACATGATCCTAGCTCCTTTCAGGTCAACAGGGCCAACAGCGTGATCCGGAATAAAATTAATTATTATCCAGGTGAGTTTGGATGGAGGCCTGCAGCAACTCCGATACAAACTCTGAACTTCACACGAGCACCACGCAGACCCGCTCCTTCACGCTGCTCCTCCACGCTGCTCCTCCGCTTCTCAGCACCCGACAGCACGGGGCACCCCCGGTGAAAAGCGAGACTGACCGGAGAGGCTGAGGCTGAAGTCGGCAACTGGTCCAGTCCGGTTCTGCTCCAGTTCGGCTCCGGCGCTCCAAGCACGAGAGACGAAGAGGCTGAAGATATCCCTGGCCCGGTTCTGCTCCGGTCCGGCGGCCCAGTCTGGCAGCGCGGTTCTGCTCCAGTCAGGCGGCCCAGTCCGGCAGCGCGGTTCTGCTCCGGTCCGGCGGCGCTTCAAAGCACCGGAGCATCTCCTCCAGGTGAACACAGCTACTCCACGGAGGTGGATCGTCTTTCAGTAAAAGTAACGGGCTGTTCACTGAAGCTGAGACCGGCTCTGTAGAAGACAAATTCCCCCACAGCCACCTCGGTTCAGTTCTGGTCCAATTCGAGGGACACAGGTACACTTCCCCCACACCTATGGAGACACCATGAGGGCCAGTCCAGCTGAAAACCAGCGAAATACCACCCGGCGATATTTGTCGGAACCAGGTAGAACCACAAAGGTCCAGATAAGAGTTCGTTGAGGTCCAGAGAGAGAGAGAGAAAAAACACCGGACCTTCGTGCGTCGACTCCCCAGCTCGAGGGGTCACCTGGCCGGCAGGGTGCGCTCAGAGTGACCGATGGGGGGGGAGCGGCCGATCGGTCCTGGGCCAAAATATTTTTTTGGACGGTCCCGTCCGGCTCTCTGAGTCACTGAACACCGAATTCGGTTGGAAGGAGGACCAGCTTTAGTCCGGTTCGAAAAACGGGTCAGTTTGATGATAATAGACTGCAGAGAAGCCTGAGGGAGCTGCTGTCCATCAGCTCGCCGGAAGTACATAGTAGAATTGATTACTTTTTATGTTCAATAAGGACCTTCACAGAGTAAAAGATTGTATAATAGGACAAAGCGACATCTCCGATCACTCTGGTTTAACCATGAAAATTAATTTAGTTAGAAGCCCCAAAAACACCTTATGGAGGCTTAACACTGGTTTATTAAATAGTATGGCATTCAAAACCGAAATGACAGAGAAGCTTAAAACTTCCTTAGAATTTAACGATAATGGAACAGTTAGCCCTACAATTTTGTGGGATGCAGCTAAGGCATATATCAGGGGTGAAATAATTGCAAAATGTGCTAATTTGAAGAAGATTAGAGCAAAAAAACTAACGGACTTACAGGAAAACTTAAAAAGATTGGAGCAGCTGCATTCGATTAACAAAAACCCCTCCTTACTAGAACAAATGAGGCCGGTTAAGCAGGAGATTCACAAAATTTTAAGTGATGAAATTGAAAAAAAAACGTAAATATATGAGAAAAAGGTATTATGAGGCAGGGACTAAAGCGTCTAAGGTGCTTTCGTGGAGGCTTAGGAAACAACAGGTGGAAAACGCAATCTATAAAGTTCGGAACCCAAAAACTAACAAGATAACTAATAAACTTGAAGAAATTCAGAGTGCATTTGAAGGGTATTATGCAGCTCTGTACACACAGCCGGACAAAATGGATAATCAAACAATTCAAAAATTTCTTAACTCTTTGGATCTTCCATCAATATGAAAAAACCAAAATGACAAGTTAATGGCAGAAATATCAGCTGAGGAAGTTGATCGAGGGATATCAAATCTTAAGACCAGTAAATCACTGGGCTGTGATGGGTTCCCTCCTGAGTGGTATAAGGCCATGAAGGAATCTGTTCTCCCACTATTAAAGGCCTCCTTTAACTACACCCTGGGAGGGGGCGCTCTTCCGCCATCATGGCGAGAGGCGTTTATATCGGTCATACCAAAGGTGGGGAAGGACAAAACGGATCCTAAAGGGTATAGACCAATTAGTGTGTTAAACATAGACTACAAACTATATGCTGCAATATTAAGAGATTAAGTACCCTGATGCTTTCCCTGATGGATGAGGACCAGACAGGTTGCATTGGTAATAGACAAACACATGATAGCATAAGAAGGGCCGTTCATGTTATTGATCATGTAGTTAAAGAAAAATCAAGTGGAGTCCTTCTCAGCTTAGATGCCGAGAAGGCGTATGATACTGTAGGATGGGAATTTTTGTTTCAAGTAATGAAGAGATTTGGGTTCTGCGATAGAGTTGTTCAATGTATAAAAACTGGGTCTGCCTTGCATGCTGCTGCTGCGACCCTGCAGCTGCCTGGTGATCCGGGGGGGGGGGGGGGGGGTGGGGGGCGTGTCGTGTTGGGGGGGGTGTTGATGTCGGCGGGCGCAATGGGCGCGGGGGCATGGGTCTGCCTTGCATGGTGGATTATTACCTGTCTGCCCAGATTAGACCTCTGGTGTGCTGGTGTAGCCCAACCTATGAGGCGAAATGGAAGGACATAGAGCTTTCTTTGTTGGACATCCCTATACAGTCTGTTCTGGGATGCATGGATGGGCTGCCCAAAGTATATCAATTACAAAATTGGTGTTTGAGTTTCTCCTTGAAAAAGTGGGCAGAGGTGGTTAAAAAGTTCAGTCTCCATAAACGGATAGGACTTCTGAGCTGGCCTGCGTACCACCTGCGTTTCCTCCCAGCTTCGATAGACCATAAATATAGAAGATGGGCGAAACAGGGAATCACTGCATTCTGTAATATAGTTAAAAATGAGGAAGTAGCAAAGTTTGAGGATTTGTGCCGGACTTACGAGGTGGGCAGAGAAGATTTCTATCGTTATTTGCAGGTCCGAAGTTTCTTCAGGAAAGAAATCAAAACCTATGACTTGGATGCGGAGCCAGGAATAGTACAAATATTTATGGATGCATATGCTGGCAAAACTACAAAAGGCATTATCGGTAAACTTTATAGAAATTTAGTATCTATGAATAAGAACTCAACTGATTATATCAGACAACGATGGGAAAAGGAAGCAAATTTAGTAATTTTACCTGAGGTTTGGCTGCAGATTTGGGGGAATACTCTGCCCACCACAAATTATTTAACATGGCGTGATTTCTGCTGGAAGAATCTAATCAGATTCTTTATTACTCCAAAGCAGAGATCGAAGCTAGGCGTTTCACGGTCCTCCTGCTGGAGGGAATGGTCTCTGCAGGCTGCTTTCATATCTTTTGGGACTGTCCACATTTGAAAACCTTCTGGAAAGATGTTAACCGATTAAGCTATGAAATTCTGGGCATAACTTTGGTCTTTTCATTTCCTGCTATGTACCTTGGAATACTTCCTGAAGGACTCAATAACAAGGACACATATCTGTTGAAGATATTTTTGATTGCAAGCAAGAAGGCGATTACTAAATGTTGGCTCCAACCTGGACCTCCTACTCTGAAGCTTCTTGTGAATATTATAAACCTGATTCACAATATGGAAATGTTGACTTTTACAATACGTCTCCAGAAGGAGAAAGGAGAGATACTGAGAAAAATGGGATCATTTTATAACCAAAGGTGTGTAACAGTTAATGTTTGTGATTCCTCATCACTCGGACAGACACCTGGGAGTTTTTTTTTGACGTTCCTGTGTTTTGTGATTCCATGCAGTGAAGTGTCTGTGAAACTGTAATGTTCACCGGTATGTGTGACTGCTGCCTGCCCTAGCCCTCGTATGTTTGATTGTATGTTTGAGTATGTTTAAAAAAACAATAAAAATAAAGTATAAATTTTTTTTTTTTTAATCCTTCCAGCTGCACAACATCCTATACCAGAGGAAATAATAATTTGAAAAAAAGTGATTTACATCCAGAAAAAAAGAGGAATTAAAGTTTTCAAAAGCAACAACTCAGAATGAAAGTAACAGAGCTACTCCAACATGCAGCCACCCCGAGTGGCGCGGTTCTAGAACAAGGTAAGATATGTTAGTGACGCACAATACAGAAGTGCTAGTTAAAAAGCTACAGAGGAGCGTTCCATTTCCCTCTGAGACAAAAATCATGGAAGATATGAGCGCCCTGCTAAGGCAATCAAACTAGGGGAAATACTGAGTAGATACACGGATTTTCAAATACGAAGGTGCCGGGGAGAATGGTGGAGAAGTTAAAGAGGAAGACCACAGGGAAACCACAAGTGAATATGCAGAGTTGATGGGACAGCGCAAGGATTCTGAGAGAGGGAGATGATGACTGATAATTTGCTGTGGCAAACCCTGAAAGGAACAAATGAAAGGATTCAAATGAGAACCCTAACCTTGAAACAAAGTCCTAAACTGAAGCAAGCATCATAGCGCTTCCATCCATCCATTTTCTTTACCCGTTTATTCCATTTTGGGTCACGGGGGTCGCTGGTGCCCATGTCCAGCAATCACTGTGCGAGGGGCGGGGTACACCCTGGACGGGTCGCAAGTCCATCACAGGGCCACATAGAGACAAACGAGACAAACAACCATTCACTCTCTCACTCACACCTAGGGACAATTTAGAGTTACCAATTGGCCTAACATGCATGTTTTTGGACTGTGGGAGGAAACCGGAGTACCCGGAGAAAACCCACGCATGCACGGAGAGAACATGCAAACTCCACCCAGAAAAGCCTCTGGACCGGGGTTTGAACCAGGGACCTGCTCACTGAGAGGCAGCAGCTCTACCAGTTGCGCCACCGTGCTGCCCCATCATAGCGCTTGTATTATTTAATTATTTTTTAATATTAATTATTCATTGTGCAGTCACTTTTCTACAATGAATTTATAAAACAAGTACCACAAAGTTGCACTGTTCTGATTTAGTGTTTTTTGTTTTGGTTTAGGTATGAAAAAAGATGGTTTCTACTCCATAAAAAAACCAAGGACTGTGCTCAATTGGCAGAGGTATGGAATACTTTGTCTACTTTTTTAAAGATGCACAAACATATCTTTTAATGTTACAGAAAATAATTTTCATATTTTCCGTGTACTTGAATTATTATTTATTTATTTTTTATTTCCCTGAAGGAATCTGCCCAAGGGATCAGTGAAGTTCTTTCTAATCTAGTGTACTTCGGTCCAAAATTTGTAAATTTTCAGCAGATAAATGAATGCAGAATTAAATGACTTTGTAGCCTCCCAACACTACCATGGTCAGACTGTGCATAATGTTTTAAGCCTGATTATTCATTTTATTTTTCTGCCAGTGGGGCTGTAACTTATTTTTTCTGACCTGAACACAAAACTATAATGGTTATGTAGCAGTGCCACCTATTGGTGACAAATGTTATAACTTTTGGAAAATGTACTGTTCAGATGGGATTGAAGGATTTTGCTTGTTATTTAGCCCAAATGGACTGCACCCCTTTTTGAAGATGCAACATTAGATTTATGAAATTTAAGTTTATAGTGTCACCATGGCGACGCGTTCATTTTGTAAAAATATGAATGCGTATATGCACACAGACACAACATGAACAGGTAAACCAAACCAGCACTTGCCAAATGCAGGACATCGGGGTGTCCCACCCCTCCTTATGTGGGACACAGGAGGGGTGGGGTGGGGTGGGGTGACTGTTCTGCCCAAATTGGGATATTTACCAAGTATGCTATGGTTTTGCCTTTGGTGTGATAGTGAATGAATCAATAGTAACTGTGTGTTTACAGCAGCTGTTTGATCAATTTTTACAGTTTGTTTGTTGTTTTTTTTTTTTTTCCCCCTATTTTTTTCATTTAGTCAGTAGATGGTGATATAGTGATACTCTCAGCTCTCTGGGAGAGGAGAAAAGCTGCTCTGACACAACTTCAGGAACAGCTCCAAGGCTTGCCAGACCTTATCAATGGACTTGATGACATCACTGCAAATATAGGTATGAATTCTGTTTAACATCAAAGTTCATGCTCATAATCCAGGTAAAAAAGCCAACAACATTAAGTCAGGTCCTCTGTATGGTTTCTTTGTGTTGAAACGTTTCGTCCTTCATCCAAAGGACTTCCTCAGTCTGAGGAGCCACAACAAACTCAGTCTTATAAATAGCACCCTCACATAGTGGGTCAACCACTTTGGCCATGGCTGCCTCAGACGAGTTGGCAGGGGACAGGGCGGACTCCACAAACCATCTTAGCACCACCAAACTGGTTGACCCACTCACTATGTGAAGGTGCTTTTTATAAGACTGAGTTTGTTGTGACTCCTCAGACTGACAAGGTCTTTTGGATGAAAGACTAAATGTTTCAATAAAAAGAAACCATCCAGAGGACATGACTTAATTTTATTGGATTTATCTACCTGGATATTTGAGCATGAACTTTCACATTAAATGGCAAATATTTCAGTCAAAGAGGCAAATCCTGTTATGTGCCCATTTCACTTTTCAACATTTTCACAAGCTTACTGAAGTACAGTTTTAAGATGTCTCCCCTTCTCACTGAAAGCGTTGTCTTACATGACATAATGCAAGGCCAGGCCAATGTGGCTTCTTTGTTCAGTGAGGATCCTCACTGCAATCACTGCTTTACCACTCAGTGCATTTAAGTTTCACAGAGACTTTATTGTCATACGCATCACATGGTTTACATGAGGTGGAATGGAATTGTGTATTCAAGGTCCCAGTTACACCCAAATAAGCAATATGTATATGAAGCATAAATGAAAGAAATAAACAGTATATAAGGATCTTAAGTACACTTCTGTCCATCTTTAGGACAGCTGTATGGAAAGTAATTTTGTTGTACTTCACTGTGCAAGGATAATAAAAGCATTCTGATTCTGATCGAAGATCTACATTAACAATAATAATATAAATAAGGTGTATTAAACAGCAGCCTGAACGTCTGTTGTGAGCAGATGGGTATGATTATAGCAGTTTATGGGTAAGACATCAGCAGCATGGATAATCAGCAGCACAGATAGTGTCAAATCTCCAATTAAAGTGGCATTACAGTGATGTTTCTGGTTAGGCATTCATGAGTCCAATTCAAGGTAGAAGCTGTTCCTCAGTTTAGTGATTCTGCACTTAATGCTCTTCAACCTCCTTCCTGAGGGGAGCAGGGCAAAAAGTGTGTGTGCTGGGTGAGTGGGGTCCTTCATGATGCAGGTGGCCCTCTTCCTGTATCTACAACCTTCACAACAGTCTATCTGTTTTAAATTGTGCTCTATAAATAAATATGACTTGACTTGACATCAATGTGAATAAGACAAAGGAGATGGCCGTAGACTTCAGAAGGAATAAACACACCTACCCCCCCCACCCCCCACCCGGAAGATCTCATGTTGCTGATTATTTCATGTTGCTGTGTTCATCTGCTCACACAGGCTCATGTTCGTGCTGCTGTTATTTTTTATACTATTAGTGCTTAGTGTATTCTTAGTCTTGTGTATTCTTAGCTTAGGGGCGGCTGTGGCTGAGTGATTTTTTTGAAACTTTACTCCAACATTTTTGTTTCACAAAGAACCAAAAAAGCTTTATATTTGTTGAAACATATTCACTCAACCTTTATTTAAACAGATAAGTCACATTGAGCCTCGAAGACTCATTTACAAGTGAGACCTGTTTGGACAATAAAAGTGGTGAAAAATGACACATAAAAAAAAACATTAATCTAATTAAATATATACATATATAAAGATAGAGTTGTTGTGTATATATAAATATAAACCATACGTATAATATAAATAATATATATACAAACCGGACTCCAAAAAATTTGTGACACTAAACAAATTGTGAATAAAAACTGAATGCAATGATGTGGAGATGGCAAATGTCAATATTTTATACATAATATAACATAGAGACAGATCAAAAGTTTAATCTGAGTAAATCCAAAAAAGTTCAATCTGGTCCTCTGGACATTAAAAAAAACAAACAAAACAAAGCACAAAGCATGTTTTTTTTTTGAATGTCCAGAGGACCAGATTGAACTTTTTTGGATTTTTCTACCTGGATTATTGAGCATGCATCAAGATAATCTGAGTAAATGTAACATTTTAAAGGAAAAATATGTTGATTCAAAATTTCAGTGTCAACAAATCCCCCAAAAGTTGGAACAACTTGCAATAATCAAAATCAATATCAGAATCAGAATAAACTTTATTGGAATTGCACCGAGGTACAAGGCGAATATGTACGTACAGTCGTCCGAAAGGTGGGCGGAAAGCACGAAGCTGCAACTACAGGAGAGCGCTGCCTTCTTATCCTTATCAGATAATAATCTTAGATAGGAAAAGGGGGAGAAACATGAGGGTAGATAGTGGTATTACAAAAAAGATCTTTCACATCTTGTCTATCAGGACACGATTTGAGACATCAAAAAACTCTTCCAGCAGCTCAATTAAAACATGATTACATTTGCATTTGACATCGAGGTGTTGAGATTTGTCCATGAGCGTTTTTTCAGATCAGCCACAGTTTCTGAACATGTTGTTTCAGCCAGCAGTTCTGATAAGCCTGCCCAGAAAGTTCTTGGGAGGGCGATAGATGAAGCTTTTGTCCTTAGGTACTCATGTCCCAGGAGAAATTTGATAGTCAGTCCGTCTCCGAGGCCGTCGGGAGTCTGATTCAGATAAGCTTGATTCTTGTTTTTCTTCAGGCAGAGATTACTTTTTTCTTTAGCCTTGAGTCCATCTGGGCGTTCTGGTTCCGAAAATGCCTAATTGTGGGATTCCATTCCACTGATCCATGCTATGGACACGCCGGTTCTCCAGGACATTGTCGTTTTGATGAAAAACTCTTATCAATGGAGTTGGATGCCCACGATAACAAAATCCTAATCTTTTTAATTTATGTTCGGGAGATGAGACCCAGACGCTTCAGACACACAGAGAGCAGAGCAGGAAGAAGGAAAAAACGGGGGAGGAGAAACAGAAGCTGCCACCTCGGTGAGAGCCTGAGAGGAAAGGCTGGAAAAAGGAAATTGAGCATATAACAAACAGCTAGAAGACCAATTAACACTAATTAGGTCAATTGACAACATGATTGGGTATAAAAAGAGCTTCTCAGAGTGTCAGTGTCTCTTAGAAGCAAAGATGGTAAGAGGATCACCAATTCCACCATTGTTGCGCAGAAAGATAGTGCAACAATACCAGAATGGTGTTACCCAGCGTAAAATAGCAAAGACTTTTAAGTTATCATCATCAACCGTGCATAACATCATCAAAAGATTCAGAGAATCTGGAACAATCGCTGTGCGTAAGGGTCAAGGCCACAAAACTCTACTGGATGCTCGTGATCTCCGGGCCCTTAAACGTCACTGCACCTCAAACAGGAATGCCACTGTCAAGGAAATAACAGAATGGGCTCAGGAATACTTCCAGAAAGCATTGTCAAGTCAAGTCAAGTCAAGTCAGATTTATTTATAGAGCACATTTAAAACAGAAACTGTTACCAAAGTGCTTAACAAAAATATCACATCATCAGATAAAAAGTAGCAAGATATATTTACAGCACATGGAATAAAAATATAAAACCAAAAACAATTAGAAACAATGAAATACTAAATCAGATCACGTTGTGTCAAAAGTCAAGGAAATAATAACAAAAAGCATAAACTCAGTCTGAAACAATGAAATACTAAATCAGATCAGATGACCTTGTGTTAAATAGGAATAATAACAAAAGCATAAACAGAATCAGCATCAATGAAAAACTAGATCTAAAGCTGATCACCCTGTGTTAAATGTCAATGAGTATAGATGTGTTTTTAGGAGAGATTTAAAAGCAGAGACTGAGGTGGCCTGTCGAATGTTGATGGGCAGATTGTTCCAGAGTTTAGGGCCCACGACTGAGAACGCTCGATCTCCTCTGAGCTTCAGCTGGTTTTTGGTACGGCCAAAAGCAGCTGGTCTGATGATCTCAAAGCCCGAGAAGGAGTATAAGGAAGAAGAAGGTCGGAGAGGTATGATGGTGCAAGGCCGTTAATGCACTTGAATGTCAGCAGGAGAATTTTAAAATCAACTCTGACACGTACAGGAAGCCAGTGAAGAGAGGATAGAACCGGAGTAATGTGCTCAAACCTGTGAGTTCCTGTTAAAAGCCGAGCTGCAGCATTTTGTATGAGCTGGAGACGTGAGAGTGAAGCCTGACTAACCCCAACATAAAGTGAGTTACAGTAGTCCAGCCGGGTTGTAATAAATGCATGGACTAGTTTTTCAAGGTCAGATCTGGACAGAACGGACTTAAGCTTTGCTATCTGCCTTAGCTGAAAGAAGCTTTTTTGTAGAACAGAGTTGATCTGTTTATTAAACTTAAAGTCCGAGTCTAACACTACCCCGAGATTGGTAACTGACTGCTTTAGATGAGGCTGAAGGGAGTGCAGGTTTACAGGATCAGTGACAGTGGCAGAGCTTGGGTTAAACACAATGACCTCAGTCTTCTGATCATTAAAGCTCAAGAAGTTTGCAGCCATCCAAGTCTTGATATCATCAAGACATTTTAGCAAAGGGAGGATGGAGCAAGAACTGTTTGGTTTTAAAGGTAGATAGATCTGAGAGTCATCGGCGTAACAGTGAAACGAAATACCATGTTTCCTCAGGATTGACCCCAAGGGGAGCAGATACAATGAGAACAGAAGGGGTCCAAGAATGGAGCCTTGTGGGACCCCACAGGAAAGAGGGACAGAAGCAGATAAATGATTGCCAAAGTTAACACAAAAACTCCTGTCACCCAGATAAGAACGGAACCATTCTAGCGCCACCCCTGTAATCCCAACCCAGTGTTCTAGCCGTGACATAAGGATGCTGTGATCAACAGTGTCAAATGCAGCGGTAAGGTCGAGGAGTACCAGGATCACAGACTGACCAGAGTCATTCGCTAGCAGAATGTCATTACAGACCCTTACTAAAGCTGTCTCGGTGCTGTGCAGTTGTTTA